GCTCATCACCCAATCTGAAAACGCATTTGCATTCCAAGCCAGTGGTAAATAAACTGTTGGTTCCCATGACTTGTTTGCGCAAGCATGCCGGGGAAAAATCCGCCTGAATAAACTTTGGCTTGTTTTGAAAAAGGTCGGCTTCCTACGGTGGAAGTGTTTTGATAGTCTACGTAAATATTTCACTCACGTAAGTCGTGACAAAACATCACAAGAATAAGTGAAACGCATAGAAATGAAGCACTTGAGCTTGGATATATTGACCATGCCGCGGGTACACAAGACGTTTGGCGACTCACAAACATGACGGATGAGGTTTGGTAACATTTCAATGCTGTTTTTTACCTTGCATCAAGGAATCAGTCATCATGTGTTACAACGTGATGGGGCTCACGAGGTTGGACGGTTTGTGGTGCTATATCCCCAGCTCACCACCCAGCTCATCAACCGATCATATTCTAACGATTTGGTCGCTAGAAGGGAGGTCGCGATCTCTAGAGTTTTGTTAGTTCCACACTACCAGTAATCTTCTCCTATTTTAGCGTGTATTGGCTTCACGTACATGCTCTTCTTGAAGCCAAATTGCTGGAAAAAATGGGCGAAAGGCGCTCACTTGCGTACCAATTTGTTTTTTAAGGGAGGGCCACTTGATTCCAGTAGAATTTCCCGTGTTTGGTTTTATTCTTTGAGTAGAATATAAGGCTTGCGGAAATTGGGGGAATGCATCGATTGGCTGATTGGCTGTCGAAGAACCTTCAGTGACCTCGTGAGTAGTGTGTTGCACCCATATCTCCAAAAACGTACTAGCTGGAACATGAGGCGGCTTGGTACGAGAACACCAGAAAAAAAGAGATTCGGCTGCGTTTCAAGTGGGTCTTCCGTCTAAATCAAATTATTATGCAAATGAGTGCGCTTTTCAAATATTTCGTTTATTTTTTTATGAGGAACTTACCAATCGGAATGAGCCGAATGGGTCGAGTCCTGATTGTGCCCAACTCAGTGCTGAGTAGTAAATACAGAATCATATTTGGAAACAGGTTGTACACTTTAATCAACCAAGATTG